AGAGAGAGAGAGAGAGAGAGAGAGAGAGAGAGAGAGAGAGAGAGGGGGGGGAGGGAGAGGCGAGGAAGGCTTTTGATTTCCTTCCTGCCAGCATTGAGTGGCACTCAATAGGTGCCCCGTCACCGTGCGGCGCGCGCAGAGCCAGGCCGTCCGAGTCATGGCCAGAACAGCCATCACTGCTGGCCTACTCGCGCGCGCGCACACACACACACACACTTACACACGACATACACACAACTGCCACCGACATGTCATATTCGCCACTGCCTTTGCTTTGCGTGTCGAGGGTACGTTTCGCGTAAGGAACCCAAAGCGCCGCCGCCTTGTACGCCGCGCGCTGCCGCACTGCACCGCCACCGGCCGGCCGCGCCGCCTGCACTCCCATCTTGGTCCGCGTGACCTCCCCTAGGAGCGGACACACCGTGAACGTGGTCGAATAAGGTGACACTGCCGAATCGTCAACTTTTTGTGCTATGGTCATGAATGACGAATTAATTCGTTCGGAAATTTATCAGCACCGTCTAGCGTGACCTTGCTGAACCCAAAATTATACAGTCGTTTTTGATTTGTTCCAAATTTAAAATCCACTCAAATCTATTCGTTCACCTCAAAGACTTGTAAAGAATCCTAACTTCTAATCTTGTAGCTTTTGATGAGCCTCGCACGTGACGTCCTCTGCGGAACAAGCACCGCGCGAATGCCGGTGCCTCCATGCGCAAGTGCGCAACAGAGTGTCCAACACGTGCAAGTGCGTAAAGCAAAGTCACGCACTTGACGGCGCGGTTGCACAGAACGTTCGTCGCACTCACGTGACGTCGGCGGCGCGAAAATTTGACAAGCGAGGTTTGCGGTCGCGGGTGAGTCATAACCCCCCTCCCCCCTCCCCCTTCGCCCCGCGAGGCGTCGCTCGGCTCGGCGTCGTGACCTCCTAAAGCAGCATATGGTGGCCGATGTTATCTCTAGTAGAACAGGTTAGGTCAGAGCCACTGGGACGGACGCGGCTGCACAGACCAGGCGCGCGATTTTCAGAGGGAATTCCACAACAGAGTAGTTGTTGCGTTGATTCGTTTATAACGATGGACTTCCCTTCGCAGTGCGTTCTCAAACGCGGAGTGGCCAAACTGTAAATAACAATAACGTGTATGCCAGTTGTTTGTGTGACTTCATTTGTTAATTGATTACCAGCACGAACAGCAGAGTAAGATGTGTTAGAGTTCTTTTCCCAGTAAGTTTATTCCTCTTAATTTTACGTCAGTATGGTTGTGCTTAGCATAATGATGCATGTTCGCTGCAGCATTGACAGTTCAAGTGGCGACTGCCGACCGAATGATCTGTGCTAAATGTCAAAGCCCCAGCGAGCAGGCTGTGTTGTAAAGTTGATGTATTTATTCGTGGTCTTTGTTTTTTTGAAACGTAGTTGTAAGCAGTTTAAATTTAAGTCTCAAGTGCCTATCACTGTTAAGAAGTTACCTTTTATAATGACGTTGTAGTTGTTTTTAGAGCATGTGCTGTAGTTAAGTGTGTTTGTGGTTCTTCCTTTTGTTTACCATTAGTCGCATAAGATTACCAATGTTAGTCATTGACGCGTGGGAACGACTATCTCGCAAAGATGAAGATAAGATTGTAAATAGTAGTATGTAATTTTCCGTTTTCCCTGTAAAAGAAAGAAATGTGTGTCAATTCTTTGTGTCAAACCGTAGAAGGCTCTTTTACCGCAGCGTCGCTCATTTACTCTGTGATAAAGTGTGCTGAAAAAAAAAGCTATGTATATTTTTTTGTAAAGAAAATTCATAGTGCAATAAAAGTCTTTTATGTTACCTTTGTGGCTCTGCCATTATTGAAACCTACTTTTAAAAGCAGGTCGTTATGTAAATAAATCTAAAATTTGACGCGGTGAAGTTGATAATGTTTAAGTCTCACGATCCACCAGAACGCGAAGACTGACAAATAAGCGAAGAGGGCTAAAGCCGCTAAGCGTTTTTGGGAGTCAATCGAAACCCTATAACACTCTAGTGTCGATACAATCCACCAAGGTTTTACTAAGGAAGACAATAAGTCTTATTGTGATTGTAATGAATTTGTGTCATTCTAATTTATTATTATTTAATAATATATGTTTATGCCATGAAACATGGAGAAAAAATGTGTTTGTGTCGTTGTTGTTTTTTTTCTTTTGCCCTCACTTACCTTTCTCCCATGAAGACGAATAATATGGCTACCACGTGGAATCACTCGAGCGTGAGTAGCAAAACACACACACACACACACACAGCCCAATAGTCGCGTGGACGGGCCCCGTGGCTCGCACGGCATTCGATTAGCATTGAACTTGACTGTTGTTCCGACCTCAGTTTGCTGCGTCTTCTTCAGGGCGGATGAGGGGCGAAGGGGAGATGGGGG